GTGTCACTGGATGGCTCCCTCACCCACAGATCTGCTGCTGGTGGGGGCCTCCATTTCTTGCCAGGTGGACGTCTCTGTGTGGTTCTCCCTCAGGTAGGCTGCCTTGGACTTCCTCACAGCATGGTGGCTGTGTTGAAGGGACAGCTTCCAGAGCATGAGGGAGCAGAAGCATTCCAGACAGAGGCTGTGCCACTTTTCCTAAGCCAGCCTGGAGAGTCACAGTGCCATTTCTGCCATAGTCACAGGCCCACCCAAGTTCACCCCTAGACAGAGCGTTAGTGGCACATTGTACAAAGAGCATGGGGATGGGGAATATTTGGTGAGCCATCATGGAAGTTAGGAACGGCCACCCCTGTTCCCACCACCTCTCTACTTGAGACCCTTCAGAAGCTGCCGCCACCCTTGGGAGAGAATCCATCCTCTTGGTATGTCCCTGCCCTGCCGGCCTTGCCACTCTCTGCCTTCCCTTCCTTCCTTCCCTCCACAGCTGGGCCCAGAGATTGATTTTGGTTTAAGTCAACCCACTGGCCACAAGGAGCTTCCTTGAACAGTATTTGTCACTTATGCCTCTCCTCACCCAGGGTCAGGCTCCATTTTCCCTGAGATAAAACTCAGATGTGGAGACCTCCCAGTGTGTCCCCCATGGCTCCTAGACACATTTCTGCTCCCCTTGATCTATTGCCTCCCTTGTCACATGAGTTTTGTGTCTCTGCCTCTCTGCCTTGCCTCACACTGTTCTCTCCGCCTGGAACACCCATTCTCCCTCACCCTCCTACAGCTCGGCAACTGATCTGCCTCCACGTTGTGGCCTTCCTGACTGCCCAGCCACCTGGGCCCGTTTTTAGCGATCTCCTGCTTTGCTGCCAGTCAGGCCTTTCCATAAACCAGCACAATGTGGTGCATGGGGTGTGGACGGTGGCAGCAGATCTGGGTTTATACCCCAGCTCCAGTGCTTACCTGCTCTGTGACCTTGCGGCAGTAACTAACCCACTGGACCATGATCGGGGTTCACTGAGGGAACCTAAGTTAGGCAGTGCATTTCTTGTCTGGCACTGAGTAGAAGCCTAGTTAGAGAGTCGGTCTCCTTTGTAAAGACTCCTGGCAGATGCTCAGTAATGAATTTTCTCACCCTCATTTGGTTGAAATAGGAAAAATGCATCTCCCTGCTTAATCATGTGGGACTAAACTACCAGAAGATACTGCCTAGCCATGAGCAGAGAGAAGAGCTCAGTAACGATATGCCTGGTTATTGAATATAATCCTGCCAGTGGAGCTGAATCTTTGTCCTCAGAATCAGCTCTGCGTTGCTGCAGTGGTGTCCATGAGCTCCTGTTGGGAGGCATGTGGGACAGTGTGACCTTGAGAACAGAGCTGCGAGGGGAGGACAGCTCCCAGAGGCGGCAGGAGCTGGTTGGAGGCACGATGTGGCTGCCCCTTGCAGGCCTCCCCCGCCTTTGGCGCAGTGGTAGTGCCCAGTCAGGTGACGGCTGCGGCTGTCCTGCCACCCTTCCCGGGGAGAGTGAGAGAATAGGCTGCTGAGGAGGTGGGTGGTGCAAGCTCTCCGTTTGCAGGGTCCCGAAACTTCCACCCAGGGCAGGGGTGGAGGGTCTGAGCCACATTATCCTGGCAGCTGTGGGCAGAGTACGGGTGGTCTGGGGTGAGCTCTGAGGCGGTGAAGAGGGTGGGCTTCTGCTCTGAGAAATGAGAAAGATGGGCCCGGAGGAACAGAAGGAAATTATTCCCTTTGGCAATAAATTAGTAATGAACCTGTCATTCAGTCCAGGCCTGAGGTGGAGTGCTGGGTCCCAGGTGTTCAAGCTCACTCACCCTTACATGCTGAGCCCACCTCGTGCTTCTCACTTCCCAGTTCCTGACCTTCCAGATTGGGTCAAGCAAGACCCCAGGGGGGGCAAAGCCCCCCACCTCTATCTGGTCCTAGGGAAAAGGAGCCTTGGCTTGGTGGGGCCATTTCCAGAATCCTGTGACATCCATGGTGGTGGTAGCAGTGACCTGGAAAAATCCTGAGACCCAGTGTGACCCCAAGATGCTGAGGCAGGTCAGGGAGAGGAGCTTGTATCCTGGCGAGGGCCACTCCAGCCTGACCCCACTCAGTCTGGCTCTGGGCAAGTAGCTGTCAACTCATTTCCACACGTGTGAAAATGAGGTTGATGTGAGCACCTGCTTTGGAGTTGAGGCCTAAACCGTGTTAAGGACTTGGTGTGGGGTTGCTGCAGGTACAGAATTCCTGCAAGCTTCCAGCGGGGAGGGGTCTCGAGTCCTCTGCTCACTGCCATCAGGTAAATCTGCCAGACGCGTGCCTGGAGCACACTCCAAATACGGGAGGGGCTGCCCGTTACGGTTATCGGGGGAACGCCAGGAAGCTCTGGCAGGACTCCACACCTAAAATTTCCTCCTGCACAACCCCAGGGAACAACTTATTGTCTCGGGGCATTCTTCTGCCACCTGGCAGTCACCCAGCCAGCCAGTGCTCCTCCACCGCCTGTGGCTGTTGTCTCGAGATGGGTAACTTGGCCTTTGGAGCCCTAGCAGGGATTTCTAAGTTCCCAGCCACTCCATGGAACCTCCCACTCTTCTAGTGACTTTCTGCCATTGCATGCTCTCCTCTCTGCCTGCTTGGCTGCCCCAGGGAAAACCCAGTGCAGGAAGAGAGTTGGTGTCATCCTTCCTTCTCCCCGTCCTGCTCCCTGATGCTCTCACCCCTTTCTCCCGAGATGCGAGATGTGGTGTGTCATCACCTGGGGAAATTACTAGTACGCCCTGCGACCCCCCTCTTCCTGAGAAGGTGGTAACTTTCCACTGTCTCAGAAAAGGTGGCAGTGTTCTCTTTGATTTTGTCTGCCTCTCGCTGGCTCCAGGTTTTACTCTGTGGTCCCCTTAGCCCTCTCCAGCCAGGCCTTTCTGTGCGGGAAACCTCCATTTCTCACCTTCATGTGAAAGGTAAGGGGAGATTTAAAACAACTAGGAAGCACCTAACGGATTCATACCTTTCAGGTTCCAAGTTAGATTAGAAGACATCATGGGTCTTTTACTGCTCATGCCAGAGATATTTGGGATAGAAATGTGGCTCTTGTGACGCCAGCTGGGATATGAGCTGGCACTACCAACTAGGGCTGGCCTCAGATCCCCCGTTCAAGGGCATGGCCCTGTGAGACTGCCCCCCGCTTCAGACGCCAGCCAAAAGTGGGCTTCCCAAGGACACCACACTGACCAGCTGGCCGCAGAGCCTCCTCAGGTTCCATAATTTATCAGAGCAACTCACAGAACTCCGGAAAGAGTTCTACTTACGATTATAGTTTGATTAAATAAAGGATGCAAATCAGAAACAGCCAAACGAAGAGACATATGATGGGCAAGGTCAAGCCAGTGGCTGTGATAGTGTTTTTTTAATCTGATATTCTAGAAATTATCTCAATATCTCCGTTGCCTTCTGCCTCCTTCTACTTTTAAGCATTTCTTATGTGCCCAGCACTCCTCTGTTTTATTTAATTCTTAACACTGCTTTTTGAAGTCTTTGCTGTTATTGTACCCACTTTAAAATGAGGAACTGAGGTCCATAGGAGCTGTGGCCACTTCAAAATGACACAGCTAAATAGCACCCCAGCTAGGATTTGAATCCAGCTAATCACTTCTGGGTCAAAGATGGGGCCATCTAAATCTGCCCCAGTCTGTCAGACGTGCCTTCTGGCTAGAAGACGATGCCTTTCCCTTAGAAATGTTGGCTGTTGGAATATGGTTGCTTGTCTCTTACATGGTGTAGTACTAAGGCTTCAAAACTGGCAAAGGCGGGGTATAGCTCAGTGGTAGAGCATTTGACTGCAAAACTGGCAAAGGACCCTTCCCAGAGGAGCCAAGTTGGGTTGCCCTGCTCCATCCAGGCAGTGAGCAGCCCCCGACCAGGCCCAGCCCAAGGACATCCCACCAAAGAATCAGGGAGAGGCAGAATAGAGAACCTTTAGGAGCTGACTCTCTTGCTTTCCCTGCCAGGGTCATCTGTCTCCAGCAGCCCAGAGCAGGAGGGGCTCTGAGCCAAGCTCAGCTGGGCTAGTCTCCCCTCCGAGCCTCCCAGGCCCATGGCAGAGACGTGATGGGACAGTGTAGAGAGGGAGTCTGTGCTGGGTCTGACCTAACAGCTGTTCCTTTGTCACCCTTCCTCCCCTCCCAGAGAATGAGAAACGCAGCCATAGGTATTTCTGCCCCTGCCAGGCCCCAGGGGACCTGCACAGGGTTAGGTCGGAAACCCAGCCCTGCAGTTTGGGAAATTAGCAGCATTTGTGGAATTCCCAAGAGCCTCACCTGATTTCTCTCAGCCATGCTAGTGGTTCTTGTTTGGGGGGTGTTACTGCCCCTCAGAGGGCTTCTGTAAATGTGGGAGGGGGGTCCTGGATTGACACGTGACTAGGAATCCTGCCAGAACTTATGTGGCAGGCTCCAAGGATGTTAAACATCCTGTGAGGAGCTAGACCCTCAGGCACACACTACAAAAACCAGTCCTGCCCTTGAGCCACTAGGGGGTAGTCCATTTACTTCCGCTGCCCCCCTCCAGTTCCTTGGAAAGCCATCCTCCTTACCAGTCCCCAGGCTGAGTGAATGGGGGAAAAGAGCATGCCTCCACCCCAGCTTGTGGCCAATGGCAGGGATGTATTTCCAGGCGGACGCGGGCCCAAGTGAGCACGGCATCTTGTCTTGCACCGGCTTGCTCTGATTGTTCATATATAGCTTCTGGGGGTCAAAGAAGACCTGGGTGTGGGCGGTGAGACTTCTCCGGGCAGGGGAGGCCTCCTGCTTGGTTCTGGCAGGAACTCCCCTACAGCCCACCTGGTGGAGCCTTGGCCACCTCACCATGGGACACCCACGTGGGACATTTCCTCCTTTCCTCTAGGCTTTTTTGGTTCCTTATCCATTTGCTTCACATGATACGTGTTTAGAGGAGTCTAGCATACCTGCTCCAGCTGAACCCCTCTCTTGTTCTTGTTTTGCAGTCGGGAAGACGTCTCTGATCACGCGGTTCATGTACGACAGCTTCGACAACACATACCAGGTGAGGTCCTGGGTGCCCCTGCCTCCCCACCGTGTCTGCAGCCGGGATGACCGCTTGGGCACCATGCCAGCATCTGTTTTGTCTCGGAAGAGCTTCCTCTCTGTGCGCTGGGCCTGGCCCACTAAAGATCCAGAGCCCTTTTGAAAATCCAGACCTTGATAAAGGAGACACTTCCAAGAGGAAAATTCTAGAAACAGAGAGGACACGTTTCAGTCTCTGTTCTCTTGCTCCCCGTGGGCAGGTCTAAACCACCACACTGTTTGGTTACTTGGAGTGTCATCATGTAGAGGAGAGTGGATAGGCAAGATGTAAAATGAGGGAAATGAAAATTAGAGCAGTAAGAGAACTTGCTCCTCAAGCCTGGTTATGTGGGCTCACCCCTACACACAGGGGCATGTGTGCACGTGAATATGCACAGTAGCTGAGGTACTTCCTTTCTGGAGAGGCTGGTTGTGATGGGCTTGCACTGCTCTGTGAGGCGGGAGGCTGGGCAGAGTAACCTCTGTAGCTCCTGGCTCTTGAGAGTGGTCTGGGGCCAACCAGCCCAAAGACTGAGCTCCTGGGACTCACTAACATTGCACTCTGCTGGCATTACTGGTGAGTCTGGAGGATCATGCAGATAAAGGAAGTTTCCCCTGCAACTATAGCTTTTTGTGAAATGCACAAAATTGAAAATATTTCAACTATGTTTAAGGGGAAAAAAAGATATTTTCTTCCTTAACAAAAGGGCAAGTAATCATTTTCTAAGCCAGTGGGTTCTGTAAGCTTTGAGTTCCAAGAGATGTTAGCTGGTGTCACTTGAGAGGGAAAGGTAGGGATGAAGGTTCAGTGCTTATACAGATAGAGGGAACCCTGGTATACGAAAGTCAATCGACTTTCCTGCTGCAGGACTTCTCAAGGCTCTTACCACATCGATAGACGGTTTTGATTTGCTGAAAGAGGGATATAGTGTGCAGGATCTCCCAGTGGTGTTTGATCATGGGATCCTTTTGTTCCCGAGTCCTCAGAGGACACGTATTTATGGCACAAACTGGGGACTGCTGTGCTAAGAGGTCCCTCTGCCTCCCCAGACTTACACAGGATATGGAGCACAGCTCAAGGCAAATGACAGGTCTGCGTCTGCTCCTTAATCTGTCTGTCTCCCTCAGGACCAGTCGTCGTCTTTGCCTCAAATACACTCTTCTCTGCCTGCTTTAATTCCCTGCTTTTCCTCTGCTATGTCTGAAACACCAGATAACTAATGGCCTTGGGAAGAGTTGACAGAGGATAAGAACATGCGGCTCTCAGAGGGGGCCCTGAATTCTCTGCAAAACCCTGGGTAGTGGCTTTAGAACGTCTGACTTGGCCACACTTTGTGTTCGCTCCAGGCCAGAGCTTCCCAGAGGCCTCCCATAAGGGAGTTCTGCCACGTCAGTCTTCCCTTGAGATTACAGTTCTAACACACTTCAGTTCTGAAGTCTAACCGGATATGCATTTATTTGTGTGTGTGCGTGTTTGTATGCAAATGACCTGGCAGATATTATTTTGATTATTTGATTTTTTAAAAATTCTAAGTTATTTATAATGCCTCTCATTGGTGTCCCACTGAAAACAATGGGACTCTTGGCTGGCTGCTGTTCTTGGTGCTGGGTAGCAGCAACTGTGGCCCCGGGGCCTTTGCAGTGACTGTGATCCTTGTGGGCATGGATCAAGGCCTCAACTCCTCCCCAAGTCCTTTGAGTTTCTTAGAATCTCCTCCTACCTCCTCCGGTGTCCTCTCCTATGGCCTGCTGCTTGGCCTGCACCCTTTGGTCCCATGGTTCTCTCTGCTTGCTGCTCCCCACATGAGCAACAGTCATGCCTCCACACTTTGGCTCATAGTGTCACCTCAGCTGGAATGACCTTCTCCCTCTGCTTCTCTGCTGTGAGAAAGTATTCTGGCTCATCAAGACTCTGAGCACTTGTTTGCTCTGTGGGTGGGGCCCTCCACCTTTCCTCTACTCTGGAGCCCTCTGCCCCAGCACGTTGTCCTCAGGCCTCGTTTAGTCTCCCAGTTCACAGGAACTCCTGTGTGCTCTGGATTCTTGGACGGGCTCTGCGTTTGGCTGAGGCCAGCACCCCTCAGATCTGCTCCTGCATTCGCAGGCCCAGCACAGGCCCTGGACATCGCTGGCGTCAAGTGCCTGCTGGCCCCAGAGCGGCTCGGAGGGGCACTGTCTGCCTTGGTTTTCAGACCCCACCAGGCCCGGAGGCCACAGAGGCCAGATGTCTTAGCGTCAAGGGAGAGAAAGCCCAAAGGGAAGCAAGACCTTGCCCACCGTAGGCTTTTTTGACTTTGTTATTGCACATGATAGAATTTCTTTCCCAGTGCTCTTTAAAACGGTAATTAGGCTGGGAGGCCAGGGATCCAGTTCTGTGCATACACAGGCCATTTTAATGAACTCTCTGGAGAAAGAGGGGGAAATGGTATTGTTTATTTTGTTTATCTTAAGATGGTGGCTGAGACATCTGGGAAGTAGACAAGATCCCCAAGGGCTCTGGGGAATGTTGCTAGTTGTCCCTGGCCTCTCCCCACCAACCCCCTCAAACTTCCTCTCCATCAGCCGGCAGAGCCCCGTACCTCCCCATTAGCTGAGACATTCAGTTCCCAGGACAGAATCATCCCTCCCTCACTCCCATCCTTTTATATGCCTCTGGCTCTGTCTCTCATCCCCTGTGTTTCTCATCCACTCATTCTGACAGCAGGTGTTTGTCTAGTGCCTTCTCTGTGTCTGGAGGGACAGTGGGAGACAATGGCCTGGCTGCAGAATCTGGCCCTGCCCTCAGCAGGGGGACAGGGAGTAGGGGGTTCAACCTCATCCTGAGTGGCAGTGCGTGAGCCCTCCCCCTCCCTCAGTCTGGTGCTGGACAAGCCTGAGGCCCTGTGGGGCTGGCCTGAGGACTTGTGAGGACCAGGGGCATGCAGAGCTGGGTTTCCTTATTCCACCCCTTGGAGGGGTCCTGTCTGCCTGACAGGCCTTGAGGGGATGCCACCTGCTCAGCTGGTCGGCCTCAGGAGATGGGGTCTCCTGCCACTCCTGCCTGGCACAGCCCCTTGTTCTCCTCTTGACACGTTTGCTAACCAGCCTCTCACCACCCCCCTCCCATCCCCCCATCAAAATCCACTTACCTGATTAAGCCCCAAATCAAGACTTACAGCCTGGTGAGATGAACTCTGCAGTAATTCTCTTGCGTAGAACCCCAACTAAAAAAACTGCTTTCAAAAGTTGCTGTAGAAGACACCTGCTGCTGCATGCACTGTGATAAGCCTTGACCCTCTGCCTAGGCCCAAAGAAACACACCTGCAGGCCTGGTTCTTGGGCCACCTTTTGGAAACCTGCACTAGCGCCATGATGAGAGGTTTCACGCCCCTGCGGCGGCTACTGGGAGGGGAGACCAGGATTTGGGAACAGTACTCTTCTGGGGTTTCTCATGGGTCCCTCAGAGGCTCTCTGTCTTGGCTGTACCTTAACATCACCTATGGCGGAGATGGCCCGGAGATCCATAGGCTGGCTCAGGCAGTAGTGATTTTGAATCTCTGAGGTGACTGAGATGACCTTCTAGCCAAGGCCAGAGCCAGCGGCCTGTCCCTAGACCTCCCACCACAGCACAACTTAGGAGATGGCCGACCTCAGCGGCTGTTCCTAGGAGAGGGTCCCGGCCTGCTGGAGCTTACTCAGCTGCCCCAGGAGCACAGGACCCTTCCTGAAGGACTGAGAGGCTTGGCCCATGCTGGGTCACTCCGGGGATCCCACAGAGCCTCTGGGAAAGGAACAGAACAGCAGTGACTACTGTGCCGGCACAGGCCGAGGGATGCCCGAGGAGCCCCTCACCCCTCAGCCATCTGCACTGTTGTTGTCGGCCGCTCTGCCGGAGGCTTTCCTCTCACCTCTGGGCTCTGGATTTATTTCCAGGGCTGCCAGAGCAAATGACCACAAACTGAGTAGTTTTAAACAACAGAATTTAATTTCTCACTGTCTTGGAGGCCGGAAGTCTAGAGCCACACTCCCTCTGAAGTTCTCCCCCCCAGTGTCTGGCAGCTGTAGGCCGCAGACCTTTGTTGTCAGGCTGCGAAGCTCCAGTCCCTGCCTCTGTCTTCATGCAGCCTTCTCCTCTCTGGGCCTCTGTGTGTCCTCTCCTCTTCCTAAAAGGACAGCGCTCATTAGACTGAGAGGCCTGTTCTAAATGCGGGGTGGTTTTTCATCTTGAGATTCTTAACTGCTTACATCTGCAAAGACCGTATTTCCAAATAAGGTCCCATTCTGAGGTTCCAGGTGGACATAAATTTGGGGTGGGACATTCTTCAGCCCACTACAGCACCTCCCAGTCTGATCCCAGTGGGGACCAGACCTTCTGGCCTGGGCCTCAGCACCGTCTGGAGCTTCAGACAAGGCAGGGGTTGGTGGCTGTTCTGGTGGGCACAGAAGGTCCTGCAGGGGAGCGTGGGACAGTTTGACTGTAGCTGTGCTGGAGGGAGGAATGATTATTTGCTGAAGGAGAAGCCCTTGTGGAAATCCCAAGTGTGATGATCCGTCACTCTGTGTGTGTGTGTGTAGGGGTCTGCCTATGGCAGTGGAGGATAAGGGTGGGGCCTTTGGATGGGTTGTTGGCAGGCTGCATTTTGATGTTCATGGACCTTATGCACTTTTGCCTTTATGGGTACTTTGTTCCTTCCTTTGTTAAATATATATATACATATATATGTATATATGAAATTATATTTTATAGCTGCTGTTAAGAGAACATGTAATCCCAACTAGATTCATTATTATATATTTTTATTATGTTGTTTTCTCTTGATTTTCAAAGAAATTAAAAGTCAAAAAATATTTTTATTGCCCCCAATAGCCCTGGGCCCTAGGATCTGAGCCTGCCCTGCCTCGTGGATACACGTGCGTGGATGCTTGGGCCTGGGGAAGGCCCTGGAAACTCAGAGGGACTTGGGCTCAGGAGGCAGGAAACAGAGAGCTATTGAAGGTTCC